CATGAAATCGGTCGAATATATATGGGTGCTATATCTAAATCTTAACCGATTTTCAAAAAAATTTACACACATAGTTCTAGACTCAATTCAGTACGCTATGCCAAATTTCGTACAAATCGGAAGATTTTGGTACACCATTTACATTAAATCGGACGAAAATATATGTGTGAGCTATATCCAAATGATCCGATTTTTCCCAATTTCAATAGGGTTCGTCCTTGAGCCAAATACACAAGCTGTGCAAATTTCATCCAAATCGGATCATAAATGCGATCTGTACTTTGTTCACAAAAATACATGGACGGACATGCGTAAATCGACTTAGAAAGTGAATCTATGCATATTCTCAAAAGGAACCATGTGTCTCGTTTCCATTTGCCTCTTACAAGGGTATAAAAAATTCGCGCCTATATTGACCATACAAATATTAAAATTTTTTTCAAATCCAGGACCATATTGTCATTGCAAAATATTCAATAAAAAATATGTATTCTTAATGATTACATCGGAGTTTTCATCGTAGATCTATTAAAGGCCTACTATCGATACAAAACCTTCGGATGACCTCTGGCAGTTATTCTTTTTTAATATATAGAAGGCCATTAAAAGATGTTACTTCTAATATCTACACAAGACCTACTTTTGTATATTAAAGACCTCTTGACGGCACTATAAGGATTAAATAATATACACGGTTTATAGAGAATCTTCTGTATGATGTCCTCTAAAATTTTTAGTTTAGATTTTTCCAAGTAAATATACAATTTTTGGAAGGCAAATTGAAGATCTACTATCTATACAAGATACAAGATATTTTCGTAAGACTAATAAATCATTGGAACATCTGTTGAAAGATACTGTCTATGGAAGGCCTCTAAAATGAATTCTTTCTTTCCAAGGTCTTTATAAAAGGTCCATAGCTATTTTTCTGTATAATATGGCAACCTTAAATAGCCTCTAGAAGGTATTCACTCTAAGGTCATATATTTATAGAGTAACCATAAATCGTTTAGATAAAGAGGTTATCTTTATCCTGTTGAATGTGTACTATTTTTGCAAGGCCTACAGATCTTCAGGTTTTCTGCCTAGTAAAGCTATCTAGAATTGTTTCTGTCTATGGAAGACTTGTAGGTGGTCATCTGACTATTGAAGACGTGTAAATAATGGAAGGTCTGTAAAAGGTCCTTCGTTTTTGGGCGGCGCCTTTATAAAATAGGCTGTAGACCTATACCAAATTATAAACACTTTGGTGGAGATATTTGGCTCAAATGGGCCGGGACTTGATCATTTTCTACGTAGATATATGTAGGTCCCCAAAACCACTGTCTGCCTCTTATTGTATCCACTTTGGTTGAAAAAAAAAAATGAAAAAAAATTAAAAAACGTGGAACCTCCTATTTCATTCATATACAATTCATTTGTCAATCGGTGCAAAAGATAATGTCAATCGGACAAACTTAGAGATTTTGGTGTGCCTGAACCGATTTCAACAAAAATTAATTCTAAACCCAATTAGGTACGCAATGCAAAATGTCATAACAATCGGACAAACATTGGGTATTTGGCGCACGATTTAGAAAAATAGACTCACATTGAATGAATGCTGTATGAAAGGTGTTTATCCATCATGATCGCGGAATGACAAATTACAGTCGCTGCGGTGGGAATTGTGCTTAAGGCCATCAAAACATCTATTAAAAGGCTGGACTTTCGGCAGAAAGATTTGCTACCCAATGAAAACTCAAGATAAAAAAATTTGAAAACCTCAAAAAAAAAATAAGAGGTATTATTATATGGGGATTTTACCTGTACTATCATGGACCGATATTGGTAAATTTTTGTAAGAAAGATAAAGAAACATGTGAAGAAATAACTTATTTTCTTCTTGTGTAATACGAATATATCTTAAAAATCTAACCATACAAATATCCATAACATTTCATTTCAAATTGTAATGTGCCGGAATGCGAACGACAGTCTACCAATGTTAACAGCTTAAATGCTGTCAAATATTTGTCATCACAAGTATGCTTGGCCACGAAAGCTATTGACTATGACAACAGAACGACCCATTTAATGATTTATTCGACAATAGACATTATTATCATTTATGACAATCGAATATCGCGTCTACTGTTGACCAAGCAAGCAGAGTACAGTGAGAATTTATAACACCCTAAGGGAATTTCATTGTTTCATCCGGTTCATTATCGTTAAAAAAATGACACAATTGTGTAATACTTTTTTTGCTCAACTAAAACGACAGAGAGTCGGCGATAGAGTTTCTTTTATACATTAACGACATATAGAAACCCTTTGTATCTAAGTTGGAGTTTGTATTAAATTTGTCATATCATTTGCAACACCTCGAAAGTTATAAAGTTAAAGTTATTTATACTATCTATCCTGAATAATAAAGTTGAATAATTTGCTTGTCATTGGGTGTTAAATCTTCCTACCCAAAATGTTAAATATCGGTCCACGTTTTGGTTTACCCCTACAAAGCATTACTTCCAAATATCGGAATTTTAAGGATACTGTATTTTGTTTTCTCCTAGCATTATTTTATCTTGACATAGTCCCCAAATAAGGTCCCGATCGATTTTAAGACTTCTGAATGTCTATTTACCCTCCACCATGAGAATGACAATCAAAATATCTAAAATTATGCATTTGGGGCTCCTAGGAGAAAACTCATGTTATGATAGGACCTTGAACGTACCGAAAAATGCGGGAGAAACTGATGAATGAAATCCTCAAAATATCTAAAAGTGGGGCTACCGTTATATGGGGCTGTAATAAAACGCAGATCAATGTTGATATTTTTTGGTAGTGAGACAGAATACAAAATACCATATTATATCCAATTCTGTGGAAAAGCGTGTCCAAAATTCCTAGAATATTCAATACTGGAGGGTACCGTTATATGGAGGATACCCTGAAACTTGGGTCAATGTTTTTGGTACGAAGATTTGTTACGCAATGAGAACTCAAAATGCCAAACTACAGCCAATTCGAGGGCTACCCTGAAACTTGGGTCATTAAAAAATTTCAGAGCTCTATAATAAATAATACTCAACATATATATACCCTTCATTGCCAAATTAGAATCACTTCGGTTGAGAAATTCACCCTAACAAGTAAAAAGCGTCAGCCAGTGTTTGCCGACAGATTGGCCCCAAGAGTTTGTAACGCTGCGAAATATTGGTCCTAAACCAATCTTATATACTGATCGTCATATCACGACTACCTATGTGTCCTACCTGTCCATTATAATTTGTAAACAGGATACTGGCATGAAAGACGGGTCCTGCTAATGATCTGTTAACATTCTGGACGCTCTAGAGTCCACATTTATTACCCGAACATCACGAAATTTTAAACCGTGGAGTATTTATGTCTTGAGGGATATTTAACAGGGCAAATGGACCCACCGTTTTGTATGAAAAATAACAAAATTTGTATTCTATTACAAAAAGCTAGAGGTCGTCCTATCGAAGACCTGATCTTCTTGTAATAGATCATGAGAGCTTCATATAATGAGACCTGTTATAAGAAGACATCTGTTATATGAAGACCTCGATAAGAAAACCTTCAGGTATTCTTACAACAGAACTTGAGGTCTTCTCATCAAAGACCTTGAGGTGTTCTTTAGCAGAGCTGGAGGTCTCCTCATCGAAGACTTGGTCTTCTCATCGAGGACCTGAAAGTATTTTATATGAGAGCTGGATGTCTTCTTATCGAATACATATTCTCATTAAAGATGTGGAGCCCTTCTTATCGAAAAGAACTTAATGCCTTCATATATGAAAACACCTCAAGTTGAAGATTGATTTTTCAATGAAGGTCCATGGTTTAGTACGACCAACTTATAACGGTTCCAACCGATGTTTCCTATTTTTTAAGCCACTTCATGGTGGAGGATGAATAAATTAAATAACGACCTGGTCCTCCTTATAGGTCCAACATTTTTGTATAATCCCTTCATAACATGTTCATTACATTTGGCCTCCTAACCTCCTTTGAGTTTGCTACCTCAAACACATTGAAAACCAGTAAGGAGAGTAGTAAAGTCGGACGGGGCCAACTACATGATACCCTTCACCACTTTGGGTAAATACAAAAGATGCTCCTATGTACAATATCCCGAAGAAATGACGAAATTAAATGTGTGGACTAAATAGATATTTGAATTTATTTAAAACAACATATACCCATACAATTTTGAAATCTTTGAAAATTTGTATGTTAATCGAACGGACTTGGGTTCTTTGGTGTACCATTTGTATGAAATCGAGCACAATTATGATTGGGAGCTATATCTTAGGTTATTCTAGGTTTAGTTTGGTTAAATCTAAATTAGTTTGGTTAAATCTAAATCTGAACCGATTTTCTCGAAACTTAAGACACACCATTCTAGACTCAATTCAGTAAGTCATGCCAAATTTCGTACAAATTGAAAGGTATATAGGGACTTTGGTGCACCATTTACATTAAATCGGACGAAAATATATATGGGCGCTATATCTAAATCTGAACCGATTTCAATAGGGTTCGTCCTTGGGCCAAATAAATGAGCTGTACCAAATTTGATCCAAATCGGATTATAAATGCTACTTGTACCTTGTTTTCAATTTAACATCAACAGACGGACGGACAGACGTAGACTTAGAAAGTGATTCTATGCATATTCTCAAAAGGAACAATGTGTCTATCTCGTTTCCTTTTGCCTGTTACAAACCTATGCACAAAGACATAATACTCTGTACCACAGTGTGGTGAAGGGTATACAAATGAGCACACTATATGAATGCTATCCTTTGAAGGACATAAAGCGTCGCTTATCCTTTTACAGATTTTTTTATTACCGATTTTATTTTATTAGGCTGACTCAATGAGTCAATGTGTATTTTATTTGTTACTATTATATTGTTGTTGTTGTTGCTATTGTTGTAGTATATATGTAGTATGTCTGAGTGTTCTCACCGCAAAACACTTACCTCATTCTGTGTGGCCTTTTGTTTTGATTTACAACAGCAAAAGGCTTTACGAAGTAGATCGCCGCAATTCAAAACACTCATGTATTAATAAAAAAAAAAATCGTTTTTTTGTACAAAAGTAAAAAAAACAAAGCTTCAATTCTCCAAAATTGAAAACAAACGACTTTTGTACAAAGTTTCGAAACACAGCCGCCACTAATTGTTGAAAAGTAGTCTTTGGAAGTTGTATTAAAACAAAAAAAAAAAAAGTTTGCCAACAATTTGTTGTTGTTTTTTGAGTGTTTTTTCTTAAAAAGGAATGTTGGTAGGAGACGTGAGACAGAGAGTAGATAAATAAAAAAGTATTTGTGCTGACGATGACAAATAAATTTGTTGTCGTTGCTGTCGACGTTTCAGTTAATGTATCTCTCCTTCTTAAGAATAAATATTGGGAATGGCGCCCAACAGGGTGGAAAAGGTTTTTTTTGTTGTTATGAAGGTCCTTTGGATTTTTTTGCAATTTGTTATTTTTGTTGGTGTTGTTGAATATTTTTTGTACTTTTTTTCTCTGTTTTTCTTCTTCTTCTTCTAATTTTAACTATTTAATGCCGATCACACTTTTGTGCGGTCAATATCGTAATTACAAATCACCAAGTGTTAGTTGCCTGAATGTATAATCAGATTCTGAAGGTTATAACGTTTTTTGTTTTCTTGTTGTTGTTGTTTTTATTTATTTATTATTGTTTGATTTTATTGAATTTATTTTGGTCTTGCTTATCGTTTAATGGTTTGTTGGCTTGTATTTAAAAAAAATTGTTGAAATATTTCAAAATTGTTTATTTTTTCGGACTATGATGAACGTGTGTTTTGTTTCTTCTCTTATCGTCGTAAGCCGGACTAATGTTTAGCTTTTTCGAGAAAATGTCATTCAAAAATCATTTATATAAAAAAATTAAATAAATCTGGGACACAGCATGAATCACAGTTAATTTGCCAAGATGTTTACTTTTAATTAAATTTCGAAAATTTTCTATTTAATTTGTAGTCATTCAAAAAAATAAAAACTTGGAGGTTTGTTTGTTCTTTGGAGATTCTTTTTGAGATAAGAATTTTTATTTATTTTTAATAAAAATTAAAAAAATATAATATTAATAAAATTTTAACATCATCACAGTTTGTTGGCCGTTCCGTTTCTATATTTTTTCACTTCCTCACAACCCTTTTCCACGCTTTGGGTCTAACAACAAAATCGATTTTCTTCCGTTCCTAATTTCGTTTTTACGTTTTATTTGCTTCCTTTTTTTGGTATTACGAACTTTTCTTCAGCTGGTTTGCAGGTTAGTGGTTGTTGGGTGGCTGCCCGACAGGCTGTGGGGAATCGAGGAATGTTGGCCGTCTTCTCTTATCTTAAAACAAACGGTTGAGGCATTACATGGGTTCACCGAGCATTTTGAACAGATTTTTTTCTTATTTTTTTCTTTTTCATTCAATTTCTGTTTTGCATTTAATTTTTTTTTTCATTCACCCACCCCGTCAATATTACTTTGGCATCAACAAAACAACAAAAATTATTTTTGGGTTTTATTTCCTCGTTACTTTTGTGCACATTTCATTCAATTTTCTTTTCTACAAGATTTTGATATTTTCACAATTTCTTGTATATATTTTTATTATATTTTTCTTTTTATTTATTTCGCCCTTTGCCCTAGAAAAATAGACGGCATTTATTCCACTTTTTATCAATCAACAAAAAATAATAATAACAGCGGCAACAACGCGTCAACTACACAACAACGATGCGGTGGTGGCGGCGTCAACAGTTTTATTACTCTCGTGGGCTATGTATTTCGTTGTAATCAAACTCGCAACTAAAATGAAATCTTGCTTCTTATTAGAAAATGAATTCCCAATTGGCAAACAACAAAGCTCAACTCAATGTTAGTTGTGTTGACTCACCAACAACATTGCAAAAATTGCTCTCTCTCTCAATCTCTCCCATCTCTATCACTCTCCTCACCAACAAGCAGACGGTGCAATGTTAATTGATTAACATGAATAAAATATCTATTGAACAGCGACATAAAAACAGTGATACAGAGAGGGAGAGAGATAAAGATACAGTAATTGAGAACACTCAATAACAGTGATGCTAATATAGCGTATTTTTTAACATTTAGTGAAGCGTATAACAGTGTGGATTTATTTACAGAACATTTCTACAAACTACTATCGCAGTGTGGATTTTTAAACATTTTTATCAGAACTATCAAAACGTAAAGTTGTTATACCCTACACAACTATGTTGTCAGGGTATTATAGCTTTGTGCAGCCCCAAGAGTTTGCAACGCTGCGAAATATTGGTCCTAAACCCACCTTTAAGTATACCGATCGCCATATCTCGACTAGCTGAGTCGATCTAGACATGTGTGTCCGTCCGTCTGTCCACTATAATTTGTAAACACGATACAGGCCACAGTTATGAACCAATCTTCAAGAAATTTTGCATGTAGGGTGAGTTCTGGCCAATGAAGACCCCTATTGTTTTTGGTAAAGATCGGTTAATATTTAGGGGATGAAATGGACCAAATACTAAATTTTTGTCGGTTTTTCTGGTCGTCCAGAGCCCGGATCGGGCCAAAGAATAAACGTGCCTGTTTTGATAAAGATCGATCAGTATTTAGCGGGTCAAATGGACCCTGACTTTTGTGTGAAAAATTAAAAAAATTGGATTCTATGGCGTATATATTTACTCCTAAAGGACATAGACCCGAGAAGTTGACCTTTAAATTGATACAAATTATATTGTCGTATGTTCTCGGATGTGGGAGTTACACTTAAATATTTACAGATGCTTACGTATTCAGATATTATATAGTAACCCTTACCACACTAGAGGGCGGAAATATAACGCTGATCGATTTGAAATTTTCCATTGGGTTCCAGTTATGGTCAAGGACAGCGCTTGTAATTTTCGGTGATGATCAAATAATAATTTTGGGCTGAAGTGGAACGAATACTTAATTTTTTGCAATTTTAAGAATCCATATATAGGCCACAGTTATAAGCCGATCATCACCATACAACCCACGCTGAAGTCAATCTGGACAAGTAATAAGAAGGGCTGTACTGAATATTAGTAATATTCGGAAAATGTGTCAGTGTATGGAAGATGTGCTGTTGACCTCTAAGGGCAAGAGGGTGCAAATGTCACGGAATATTTCCCAGGCTCGGAATAAACTTATTTAGAAAGTTAGAACTCCGTCGACTATACTGCTCCGCTCACTGGTTAAACAATAATTTATTAAAGGATAGCGTTGTTTGTTTGTTTATATTATATAATATAATTTAAAAACGATCTTAACGTCTATTTTTCAAAAAGAAATCCATTATTTTTATATGAACTGTAGGACTTTATTTAACACGCTTCGTAGAAATCCTCACTGTTTGCAAAAAAACTCTAGTAGTCGATTTTCACAATCCTCCCTAGGAACCAATTTGTTTTTATCATTAAAGAAATATTGCAATGTAAGAAAAATATTATAACGGCTTGTTGCCAAGTCCGGAATGTATGGCAGATGCATTAAAACTTCCCAACCAAACTCCCGAAGTTTCGTTGTCCTGGTGGAATACCACACCTCTCCTATTGTCCAATTCTTGTAAATTGTTTAAAACAGTTTTTTGATCGATTTTTAAAAATGGGTAAAAAGTTTGATTCTTAGGCATAAAATCGTTTTTTTCATATTTTGAAATTTATCTGATTTCCTAAATGTAGATACCCATATTAAAAAAACATTTAATATCAATGCGGGTGGCAAACCTTTTTAGCTGGCGAATTTTTAAGCCAGCTGTTTGAAAGTCATTTTGTTTTGGTACAACTGGCGGTAAAGATCAGCTAAGTTCGAGTGCTTGTGATTTGACAAAATTGAAAAAAAAATAAAATGTGTAATTATGGAAAACGTTATGCAGGTATGTAAAATTAAGACGAGATGCCCTTTTTGTCATAATTGTCTTTTTTTGTAATACTGTAAAATGTTTTCTTTATGTATAACTATATATAAAATCTATAAATTTTAGTTGAGTTCCGTGGAGTGTAACTTGTGAATGGCAAACCATTGCAAAATGGTATAAATGACAAGTTATTAACAAAAGCATTTGCCAAAGTGCGACCGTAAATTAGAGCGATTTAAAACTAAACATTCAAAATGGCTTAGCAAAAGTATAATTATAGTAATAAAATTATGAAGATGCTGGACCTATGCTAAAAAGGAAATTAGCCTCCAAAGTTGCTTCACAAAATAAACATGCAACGCCGTTGCTAGTCCATGCTGCTACGGTTTCAGCCAAAAAATCCAACTACAGAGACATGGCCTTTGTTTTGAATAAAGCAGGCAGTAATGGAAATATAGCCGAAATAAGGAACAAACTTTTTGCTGTTAATCCAACACCTGTTTCTGTGGATAACGCATTAACATTTTTAATAGACAATATATTCACAACTGTGCATAAACATGAAACAACACATCAAGAAAACCAAATTTCTCTTCAATAGCTTTATAAACAAAAAAAGTTGGGGCAAATCGGCCAGATCGGCTATATGGTAGCTATATGAAATTGTGCCCAAAATAATATGAAAATTGGTAGGTCATCTTGGGAGTATATAAGCAGATGGCTATGTAACAGCTATAAGAAATTGAGCCCCAAATCATATGAAAATTGGTAGTTTATCCCAAAATAAACGTAAAACCCCATAGTGCGACGGCCAACATCGATCATATTTTAACGACATTTCCGACGATCGAGGTACATCTTTAACATAAAAAATTCCAGGACGGAATCTACGAAACCAAAATTGCACATAATTGCCTGTTACAGCATCGGAACCTGCCGAAAAAATAATAGATTTCTTTTTCCCCAACATAATATATATTTTACAATTTTTAAACCCTCCACCATAAAGTAAAGTGTATATTAAATTTGTCATTTCGATTGCAACACCTCGAAATATTCAAAGTATATATTTTCTTGATCAGAATTAAATTACATGTCGATTTACGCATGTTTTGAAATCATGATAGAAATGGCACTATTTAAGATGCGAGTTCTGCAGAGGCATT